AATGCCTGACTGTGTGGTTTATGCTTCTAATGAAGGGCTTTAAAGGTAATAATCAGCGTCCTGAATGGCACCTGGAAGCACACCTGCTGCTTGGGAAACCACCATGTCACACGGGCCACTCTTAGAGACCCAAAACTCTCCCCCCCCAGACACACCCTTCACCCCCTGTGGCTTCCAAATGCTCTTCAAGGGTTGCCCCATCTTGCAACAGTCCAGCCCTGAGATGCTTGGGGCTTAAATGATTGAGCACAGGGACTCCTGATCCAGGAAGGGCCGAAACTGGAGCATTACTTAAACGCTGTGCAAAGGCTCTCCTAGCTGTGACTGCCACCAGCTCACTGGAGTTGTGAGTCCAGGAGAACCTCCAGGTTGTGCACCAACTCTGTCTGGGGGAGTGCCCCCCTCTCCAGAAATGCTTCCTTATTAGCATTGATGATTTAACTTAGTTTGGGTCATGAAACATCTGCAAGGAAACAACCAAGCTCAGAGAGCACCTAGGATCACATAGTCCTCCTCCTCCTCTTCCTCCTCCTCCTCCTCCTCTTCCTCTTCCTCTTCCTCCTCCTCCTCCTCCTCCTCCTCCTCCTCTTCCTCCTCCTCCTCCTCCTTCTCCTCCTCCTTGCCTTTAGAAATCGTGGGCGCTCCATCACTGGAGGTTTTTAAGAAGAGATTGGACAGCCCCTTGTCTGAGATGGTATAGGTCCTCCTGCTTGAGTGGGGGGCTGGACTAGAAGACCTCCAAGGTCCCTTCCAGCTCTATTCTATTCTATTCTATTCTATTCTATTCTATTCTATTCTATTCTATTCTATTCTATTCTTCCATTTCATATTTTCTATTCTATTCTATTCTATTCTGTTCTGTTCTGTTCTGTTCTTCCATTTCATATTTTCTATTCTATTCTATTCTATTCTATTCTATTCTATTCTATTCTATTCTATTCTATTCTACGATTCTATTCTGTTCTGTTCTATTCTATTCTATTCTATTCTATTCTATTCTATTCTATTCTACAGTATTCTATTCTATTCTATTCTGTTCTATTCTATTCTATTCTATTCTATTCTATTCTATTCTACGATTCTATTCTATTCTATTCTATTCTATTCTATTCTATTCTATTCTATTCTATTCTATTCTATTCTCCTCCTCCTCCTCTCCACAAATTCCACTCCTTTCTAGCACTGATGATGTTACCTACTTGGCTCATGAAACATCTGCAAGGAAACCACCCAGTTCAGAGAGCACCAGGGACCCCTCAAATAAAATAATGTTGCAGGGGAACGGATGGGCAGGACAGCTAGACTTAGCTGGAGGGTAGCCTCACAATAAGACATGGCAACAGGCTTAGCTTCCTTTGTGTAATTCCCAGTGTCCTTTGGAGAGAAGGTGTGCAGCAAGAAGTCAAACCACAGCCTTGCAAATATTGCTGAAATATTACTAAATTAACCACGGAGAACATATCAACTTGCTGAAATGACAGTTGCATTAGGAAAGTTTTTTGGCCAAAGTATGCACCCGTATCTCCGTATTTTTAACTGCTATAAAAGTATAAGCCATATATGGGAAAAGAGGGCAACAGGTGACACCCTGATGTTCAAATTTGTGGGTTTTGTGGTTTGGGGATATGAAAGACATGGCCAAGGGCAGCCCCCACAAGTCCTCCTTCTGCACAGCGTAACATCATCCTGCTTCAATCTCCACCTCAAGGTACTTTATTGGGCTTCTCCAGACAAGGACTCAGGGCTGGACTGAGACATCCTA